AGTATAGTAATTCTAAACTATAACTGTTTACCAACTACATATTGGAATTTTAAACAAGTAGCGTAAATGCCCCAGTTGTTGGCCATGAATAAGTTATTGGCCTCTAATATGTTTTGATTAAAATTAGGAAATGTTTACATTGAACAAATAACGTAAATTTTAAGGTGGAAAACTACTAATGCATGAAATTATCAATATATCCATTATTGGCCTTATAGAAAATTGTACTTTGATGGTATACAAGGCAAATATCGAACACAGTAATTAATTAAATCTTGCCCAAGTACTTTCGATCAATAGATCATCCTCAGGGGCATTTCGTCAGTTGTGGTCTATCCGACATGAGCAGAATGTCATGCATGTAAATTTGGACATAACAATACAATACACAAAGACAAACAAACACTTTAAAATTTTAAAAATTGAGAAGCTACATGTTATATGGAAGCCGGAGCGATAAAAAAAATTTTATGCCGCTTCTTTGACTTGTTTTTAACTTTTTTCAAGTCACCTCCCTTGTGAACTCAGCCGTAATGTGTAGTTTTACTGCTTGTACATTTAATTTCTTTTTGCTCTTTTGCTGGTGTAATGCTTCTTTGTAAGGTGAAAAAGTTATTAACGTTGATTTCGATGATTTTCTACCATGATTTTTAGATTTTTCCTGATTTACGACACTGGCAATATTTCAAAGAGACTTAAAACGTTTGCAAACCAGAAGGACCTGGTTCACTTATATTGCTGGATTCTGGTATTTTTGGTAGGATATCAGGTTTAAAAGCTTGCATACTTTACAAACTTATGCAAACCAGAAGGACCTGGTTCACTAATGTTGCTGGCTTCTGGTGCAAATCTGCATCTGATAACACAGTCTCATTCAATGGATAAATTCCAGTGGCGTTGAATCCATTTACAGCAATCCATTTACTGTAGTGTCCATCCAATATAAGAAGTACAGGAAACTCTTTAGAGGGTTTAACGGTATCTATGAAGTGTTTAAACCACTGTGTAAATAAATTAGACTGCATCCAACCACTAGGACGAAGGACTGATATCGACCCAGGAGGAGTACTTTTCATGAGTTGCACATTCATATTATTTTTTGGGAAGATTAACATGGGTGGGATAAAATTCCCTCCTGCACTCATACACGCAATTAAAGTCATCAATGATCCTCTCTCAGACTAAGTCAGCGATGCGATTTGTCTCTTTCATTTCCGCTTTATTATTGCTGCAATTTTATTGCACAATGGTTAGGCCTCTTTCATCTACTTTTACTATTACTAGAAAAATTACATTACTAGAAAAATTGTATTTATCCTATGCTTTTTCCAGATGATCAAAAAATATTTGAACATTCTCTTTGTTAAAGTTAATTGCCCGTCTAAAAGACGTTCCAGTTGCATAAAGGGATGATTTAATCCATTTAATTCAGCCAGATTAAATGCTATTCGTTTAAATAATAGTTCCGAATAGTTCCTCTTCCCACTTTTTTAAGTACTGCTTCATCTGGACTCAATTGAGTTATTTTTGCTAACCGTTGTATTGTCGATTTCGAAACAATATAAATTTTAGCTGCTTTTAATGTACCCATCGTTTTATCTCTCACAGCTTGAATAGCAGATTTCATGCTATCTGGATTCCAGGACTTTCGTTGTTTTGGACTTACAATACTTTTTCTAGGCATACTGAAAAGAAAAAAAACCCTGTAGACTAAACTGATACAAATATAGGCTAGCTTATATTTGTAGCACCCATGGACGTATAAACACAGATGGACTCAGTTATTTACATAAAATTGTGAAGTCAAAATTATTTGAATAGGTCACATTCTCAGCACCTTCAACTGTTGTCACGTTTTGTTTTAAAATTTCTTATTCGCGAGTCGCTGAAAATATTACTCCGTATTTTATACTCTACAGGTACTATCAAACCAAAATAATAATTTATTGGTTAGATTAATATACAGTGGAACCTCGATTATCCGTCTCTCTATTAACCGTCACCTCCGTTAACCGTCAGGGTCCATACATAAGATATATTGACAACATAGGTAAAAATGTACTCATCAATTCATTTTGTTTGCAAAAAATTCTCCACCAAAGACGATTCTCATTTTGGACAATGCACCTGCCCATCCTAAAGCCGGTATGCTGCGGAGTGACAATAAAAAATCACGTACTCTTTTCTGCCTGCGAATACAACATCATTGATACAGCCAATGGATCATTCGGTCATTAAAACATTCAAATGAAGATACAGAAAAGAATTTATTCAGAACCTAGTTATGAAAGAGGAATATTCTTTGCCAAAATACTGGAAAGCATATAATTTAAAACACGCAGTCGACAATGCTGTGGATGCTTGGGCTGATGTTTCGGAAGTAACGTTGAAAAGAGCGTGAAATAAATTATAGCCTGAATCAACTTAAGATGAAAATACTCCCCTTAAATGAAGATATGGCTGAATCAACTGTTTTGTTTTCGTTGCCTAAAGATGACATAAACGAATGGTTAATTTGTGATAAGGACGCAAACGGCTATCGATTGCTGACAGATGATGAAATCGTTGAAATGGCAACAGAGGCGGACGAAACTGATTCAGAAGCCAACAGAGACTTTGATGGTGGCAATGTTGATGATGCTATTACAACTCAAAAAGATTTGCGTAAAGCTAGAGAAGCTGAATCGCACATACAACAATTTATCAAGTGGTATTCTCGGCAAGAAGAAGCAAATAAGGTAAATTTGATGATTTTACGTCGATTAAGAAATTCAGCCGCTGCAAAATGTGAAGTAACAATAAAACAAACAAAGATTTCGGAATAATTTGAATCAGATTAGTTCGACTGTACTAACATAAATCCCTCTTATATTGTCAAATAAAATATACAAATAAAATTTGAGTTATACTATGAATTTTTTTTTTAATGTTCTGTTAACCGTCTTTAGTGTGCGTTATAGTGTGCATTATCATTTAATAATAGCGTATAATAGATATCAATCAATTATTTTATATGTAGAAGCACTGAAAACTATTTATAAATGGCAACGGTTGTTTACATTTCTCTGTCTTATGGATCTACGTCAAACTTCAAATGCTGTTCCATGTTTGTTTACTTTTTAGTAGAAGTTGTTTTTCGATATTTTGGTTGTATTTTGAGTGATATTTGTGAAAAGTGAAATAAAATAAACGAAATATTTACATCCCGATCTCTCATTTCATTTGTAAGTACATACAATTTACATTATTTACGATGAGGAAATGAGGAAGCGTTTTTGTTTACATTTTAATAGGCGTACCATTGGGTTTATTCATATTCATTAATGTATTGAATAAGATATAAGTTCATGAAATTAATAGACATTTTTAAATTGTAAGTAGACATCATCTGATTAAAAAAAATATTTAGTACCTTTTTAATTTAATATTTCTTATGGATGCAAATAAAATTAGTGAAATGAATAAAACTCATTTATTTTTCTATGTAGGTTCCAAATAATATTGACGATCGAACTATTTTGGTAGCAAATTTAGGAGAAAACATAAAGATTTTTTATTGTAGCATTATTTTGATACCTATTAAAAATTAACTTGAATTCAACTGTATTTTATTGTATTAATTTTAAAGCAAATAAAATTGTATTTTAATTTTACTATAAAGACGTGATTTGTTAATAGTTAAACTCTCGTTTTTTTTTAATTCTTTAAACGTGTTTTTATACATTATTACTACTTCCAATTTTTAAAATCTGAATAATTACCCGCGAGTAAAAATTCAAGCACGCTTATGCTCATTGAGGAAGCATCACATTCTATCGAAGCTTTAAAACATTGTGTGTTAAAGGTATCTTGTTGCTGTGTCCATCTATGTTTATACGTCCATGGTAGCACCACACAATTATGGGCTAGCTCATATTTGTGGCACCAGGCTAGCCCCTATTGCAACATAACCAAACATATATTCAAATATTAATAACTAAAATGCAACACGAATTAAAAGAAACATTCGAAAATATTATGGAAATATCAGCCTTTGGCTTACGATGTATGATAAAATATTAAATTTATTCTTAGTTTTCACCAAAAAAAAAAAACAGAAAAAAAATGAAATAAAAACATATTTGAAAAATTTCTTGAACAGCGTCAACACTAACATGTATTTGTTTCAACGGTCAATGAACCTAGGTCATTGTAAGCTTTATTAGTTATAATTTTATACTAAAGAGTGTCTAGTCAAGCTATTGACGTATAGGTGGTGGTATGTATTTCATATTAATTGCGATAGCCCATATTAGTAGCATAGCCCACATTTGTACCTTCTCTACTAAATATTATAGAGTATAAAGAATACATTAGATGACAAATGTGTCTTAAAATATATCATGTAACTTGCGTAACTAGATTCTATTGGGACACAGATTAAGTATATGTTTTTTTGAATCTTGTCAGAATAAAAAATAAAATTTTACTTTGAGATGCTGTTTTTTTTGTGTTACAGTCATTACAAAATCCTTGCTTAACCAAATAGGTTTCTACCTACCTACCTATCTTAAATTACTAGTTGAGTGGTAAAATATTACTTTAAAAAATGATGGATAATCACTAATACATATCGTGTCAATAACTGGAACAGTGTGGCCCATATCTGGTTCATTTGCACATTTACAAAAGAACAAATGTAAATGAAATTGAAAATTTCATGAAAGATTAACATAGTGTCAAAACATTTCATAGATATATCGACGTGCTTTCCTTAAGAGGCCAATAAATGGTGCTTTTACCCTAAGTAGTTTTAAACAAACAAGTTTATAATTACTATCCTTTTTAGAGAAACTAAAATTTCAGTTAACGTATCAACTTATATTCCGTGGAAATTAAAAGAGTTATGAGTTATATTGTATTACTTTTTTGAAGGTTTGGTTCAAATTTTGATTTTTAATTTGAGCTAAACATTCTTTGCAAGCTTTTGCTAGAATATCGATTACCGCTTCGACTTTCAGTCCGAATATCAGTAGCGGTAGTCAGTTCCTAATAATTTGGTCTCCTAGAGATGGAGAAGTCATAACACCTGAAATAGCTCGTCCCAGAGTTCCTCACGAAATCCTCTTCGCAATTGGTGGTTGGAGCGGTGGATCTCCAACAAACTTTATCGAAACATATGACACACGAGCAGACCGATGGGTCAAAGTCGAAGAAGTTGATCCAGCAGGTTCTAGAGCCTACCACGGCACAGCTGTTGTCGGTTATAAGATTTACGTAATCGGCGGATTCGATGGTATGGACTATTTTAATTCATGTAGATGTTTTGATGCTGTTACTAAAACCTGGAAAGAAGTAGCTCCGATGCATTCTAGACGATGTTACGTTAGTACTGCTGTTCTTAAAACTACAATTTACGCTATGGGTGGATACGACGGACATAGTCGCAAAAATAGTGCTGAGAAATATGATTATAGAACTAACCAATGGACCCTTATAGCTCCAATGAACATGCAGCGGTCAGATGCAAGTGCTTGTAATCTTGACGGTAAGTTACATATTTTTTAAAACTTTAAAGAGGTTTCGTTTACAATACTGTCTTTCGTGCTTGAATGGTTGTAAATCCATAGCTCACTTTGCTACAAGTTTTGATGTACTTAATACACAAAGAAATTTCCTGTTTCTCTAAAAACACACGTCTTACAGCATAATTCCATTCAGTCATTATCTGGTCTATTACGTTTTTTTGCGACATATCTTTGTAATGTCTGAAATTTTAATCCTTATTCAACGGCAGAAATTCTCAATAATTTTCCGTCCAAAAAATCTTCATATCATCGGAGTTGAATGTAGCCAGACTCCTTGGTTTTTGTTTGAGCACTATACCTGTAACAAACATGGTAAACTTTATTTCTACCTATACAGCATATTATAATAGCTTACACACTAAGTAATGTGTAAAAATAATATTAAAGATGCAGCAAATAATATTCTAGGGCCAGAAAGACCACCACCACGTAATGACTGGTTTGATGCTGAGTGTGAGGACATTACAAGAAGAAACAATGATGAATATAAACTGATGCAGCAAAGAAAAACCCGAGAAAAACAGCAAAAATATAAATATCTCAGAAAAGGAGAGAAGTGCATTCACAGAAGAAAAAAGCGAACTCACGAAAATAGAATATTGGAAGAACTTGATGTATTAAAAAAGGAAAACCAAACAAGAAAATTCTACAAAACTCTGAATACTGCAAGAAAGGAATTCAAACCAAGGCTCAGCCTATGTAAAGATAAGGAGGGGCATATACTAAATACAAAAGAAGAAGTACTGAAAAGGTGGGTGGAACACTTTAAAGAACTACTTACTATAGAAGTAGAAGATCCAGATCCAAATCAACCACCCGCAGGAGCAAGCAACAATTCACCATTAGAGCCTCCATCAATTCAAGAAGTACGAGATGCAATAAAACACCCAAAAACAATAAATATCAAGGAAGTGATGGTATACCCGCGGAACTTTTTAAATGTGGAGGTGCTACTGTGACTAATCAAATATATAAAATAATATTGAGAGCCTGGAATGAGGAACAAATCCCGGAAGAGTGGTGTATTGAAATCATTTGCCCGCTACACAAAAAGGGTGACCAATTGGAATGTAGAAACTATAGGGGAATAACCCTCCTTAATACAGCATACAAAATATTTTCGAGGATCTTATATGGTCGCCTAAGTGCATATTCAAAGGAACTTCTCGGGGAATATCAAAGTGGCTTTAGGCCTGGTCGATCAACAACAGATCAGATCTTTGTGCTAAGACAAATACTGGAAAAAACCAATGAATTCAATATCGATACATACCATCTTTTTGTAGACTTCAAATCTGCCTATGATAGTGTCCTAAGAAATAAACTGTATGAAGCCATGAATGAATTCCACATCCCCGATAAACTGATAAGATTGGTTAAGGCTCCAATGCGTAATGTGGTTTGCAAAGTCGAAATACAGGGCGAAGAATCACAGGCGTTTGGAACGCATGTTGGGGTGCGACAGGAAGACGCGCTGGCGTGCCTCCTTTTCAACATAGCACTGGAAAAGGCGATTAGAGATGCCCGAATAGACAACAGAGGAAATATTTTTAATAAATCATCCCAAATTTTGGCATATGCAGATGATGTGGACCTAGTTGCCCGCACAACACGCAAACTAGAAGAAATGTATACCACCTTCTCAAATGCCTTAAAATCTATAGGTATGCAAGTAAATGAGGAGAAAACTAAGATGATAGCATCAACACCCAACAATAAAGTCAGGAACATCGGTCCCCAATTCACGGTCGATAACTCTACCTTTGAAGTGGTGGACAAATTCACATACTTAGGCTCCCTGAACACCAAAGAGAACGCCATAACAAAAGAAATCAACCGAAGGATAATAATGGCAAACAGATGCTATTTTGGACTGAGTAGACATATGAGAAGTAAAAACTTAAGCCAAAAAACAAAAATAACCATATACAAAACCCTTATACAGCTAGTGTTGACATATGGATCAGAGATGTGGACCATCTCCAAGGCAGACGAAGACCTTCTGCTTATATTTAAACGAAGGATCCTGAGAGGAATATTTGGTGGTATCTGTGAAAATAGTGTTTGGAGGAGGAGATACAACTACGAGGTATACCATAGATATAAACAAATATTTGGTCTTAAAGACTATTAGTCTTGACTGAAGACTAAGATGGACAGGACATCTAGCAAGATCACAGCAGAACAACCCTCCTAGAAGAATCCTTATGTCACAACCCGTGGGAAGTAGAAAAAGGGGTAGGTCAAAACTCAGATGGAAGGATGGTGTAGATGAGGATGGTAGAAAGATAGGCGCAGCAAACTGAAAACGGTTGGCAATGGATAGGAGTGCCTGGCGTTATAGACTTGGGAAGGTCGAGGCTCTTTCATAGGGCTGTAGCACCATTGATGATGATGACATACAAAGTACAAACTTTAGTAGTACACAATGGGACAGTCTCATTGTGTACCATCACCCAGTGTCTCATTGTGTATCAAGTAACATTGTAATAAACAAATAGAAATGATCATAAAACATTAATATTGATGATACGCGGAGTCACAAACTCTGCTTTGAATGGCCAAAGTGCAATATGAATTTAGATATCAGGTGGTGGGATAAAAATTATAAGAATATTCCAACTCACGAGGACCGATTTACACCTGCTACACTTGTACATAAGCTAACTGCTCGATAAGGGGGCCAGACCTAATTTTGTTTAATGCGAACTTTATTTTGTTTATTGTTAACCAAATGTATACATTTTAGGCAAAATTTATATAACTGGTGGCTTTAATGGCCAAGAATGCATGCATTCGGCGGAAGTGTATGATCCTGAATTAAACCAATGGTCATTAATAAGTCCAATGCGATCACGACGTTCTGGAGTAAGTTGTATTGCTTATCATGGCTCAGTATATGTGATTGGAGGATTTAATGGCATATCTAGAATGTGCAGTGGAGAAAAATATAATCCATTATCAAACAATTGGTCACCCATACCTGATATGTATAATCCTAGAAGTAACTTTGCCATTGAAGTAATCGACGATATGATATTCGCTATTGGTGGTTTTAATGGTAAGATTTTAAATTTTTGTCTAAACTAATATGTGTTAAATACAAATATATATACAACCTTTTGACAATTAATTAATTATGTTTATTTACAATCTATCAGAACATTAAGTAAATGTGTTACAGGTTTTGGGCGCGAAGGAGAGACATCCAATTATGTCTCACCTTATTCTATTTTGGTTTATGTTTGAAGTAGGTTTTGGGGCAAGGTTCTATCTTGTCTTCTTGTGGCTAGAGCATTGTTTATTAATTCCATTATTAGCTTATTTTCATGGTAAATGGTACGTTCATTTTGTGACTCCATGGCTCGATGGATTTCTTTTCTGATGTAAGGAATCTTCAAGTAGTAGTGGAGTATTTGATTACTTACGTACCATGGTGGATCCACTATCGATCTTAGCACTTTAGACTGGAATCTTTGAATAATATTCAGCGACGTTTGCTTTGCACAGCCCCATAGGTGTAGTCCGTATAATCAGATAGGTACGTTGGTCAAGGTATCTAACGTCTGTTACTGTTGGTATTCTTAAATTTTCGTACACCAATCATTGAGTATGTTTAGACGATGTTGCAGGTTTTGTGAGGCTCCATGACCAGGGTAACAACAAAGCAATGATGTTTCTTTGGGACGAAGTTGGATCTTTAAAAAAACATAACCCATTAAGTAATCATATGATCAGTTCGTTCTACAGGACAGAATAACAACTAAAGAATCGTAGCTCTTATGCAACATTTTGTTGTAAAATTGTTGTTGTGAATTTTTTACTACTGTAGAACAGAAATTCTTAATACAATGATATAGAAAGCAAGAGATTGCATTTCATTTCGATAGGAACTCCACCTAGCCCGACACGTGTTTCGAGTTATTCAACCCATCGTCAGGAGCTCTTGTGGAAGTTCAATCGAAATGAAATGCAGTCTAGTATTTGGCCATTATAACTACAATAATAGCCAGGGTACGCTAGCAGCGACATCTATATGAAATAACGAGAAGTCGAGAGACCTCTCTGATAGCAAATTAGGTGAACCGCAAATTCAAAGCCTCTTGCTAGAGGCTTTCAACGACGCTAGCAGTACATTTTTACTTCGACATGCATCTACGATTCACCTTTGAAAATTACCATCTTTCTTCACTCTTTACGTAGAGAAAGACGTTTAAATGAAAGTAAAAGATTGCATTTCATTTCGATAGGAACTCCACCATAGCCCGACACGTGTTTCGAGTTATTCAACCCATCGTCAGGAGCTCTTGTGGAAGTTCAATCGAAATGAAATGCAGTCTAGTATTTGGCCATTAAAGGTGAATCGTAGATGCATGTCGAAGTAAAAATGTACTGCTAGCGTCGTTGAAAGCCTCTAGCAAGAGGCTTTGAATTTGCGGTTCACCTAATTTACTATCAGAGAGGTCTCTCGACTTCTCGTTATTTCATATAGATGTCGCTGCTAGCGTACCCTGGCTATTAGAATAGAATAGAATAGAAATATGCTTTATTGTCACTGAAAATTATTGAACAATTTTATGGACAAAGCTAAAAAATAAATCAGTCAAATAATACAAAAAGTATAAAACAAAAACAATATAGTAAAAAACAAAATAACACAATTTTAAATTAGTAAAATTATTGTATAACCTACATAATTTGTACAAACAACAACAAATGAGACAAATTGTAGCCACTGCTTGAGACACCCAAATGTAATTATATACAATACTAATTTTGTTTCTTTGTTATACATTAAGAAACTCGTCAACTGAGTAATATGGTCTTTCTGAGAGATAGATTTTTGTCACCTTACGAAACTTAATGAAGGATGTTGCGGATTTAATTTCTCTTGGAAGGTGATTATAAAGTTTCTTTGCACGATATAGAATAGAATTCTTTACTAGCTGAGTGGACGGATCGGCAAATAAACGTTACAATCCGAATTTCTAATGGAGTAGCCATGGTCAGGTCTATCGGGAAAAATGTTTAGATGCTTTCGAATCAAACAAACCGTTTCCAAAATAAATAAAGAGGGAAGCGTCAAAATTCCGTGATTTTTGAAGTAAGTCTTGCAATGAGTTGTTTGTTTGAGACCAAATAGATAACGGATTGCTCTTTTTTGCAACTTAAAAATAGTATCAAATTGGGCCGCTGTACTAGAACCCCAAATGGAAGCCCATATCGAAGATGGGACTCGAACAATGAGAAATATGCCATTTTGGCAGAAGATAAATTTAGTTCCTTCGAAACAGATCTTATTGCAAAGCAAGCTGAGGCTAGTTTCTTCCTTAAGAAGTCAGTATGCAAGGACCATTTGAGATCACTGTCAATGAGAATACCTAGAAATTTCACGGAATTTACGATATTGATTTGGCTCTCATTCAAAAGCAAGGGTTGCATGACTCCTTTATAAGATAATGCTACAGTCTTATCCACGTTAAAGCTAAGTAAGTTGGAGTCTGACCAAGCCTTGATTATAAGTAAATCATCGGTTATAATTGAATGAAGCGTTGAAATATCAGAGCTGCTCCATGTAATACTGGTATCATCAGCAAATAGAAAAATTTTCCCTTTAATTTTCAAGTAAGTGATGTCATTAATGAAAAGTAAAAAAAGAATGGGACCTAATACTGAACCTTGCGGTACTCCACACTCAATATCTTTACAACTAGAGTCGGTGTCATTTATTCTAACCAATTGTTTCCTACCTACCAAGTAAGTTTTGAACCAGTTCAAAGACACACCCCGAATTCCATAGAAAGTTAATTTTTTTAATAGAATGTCGTGATTTACGCAGTCAAAGGCTTTGGAATAGTCGCAGAAAACGGTGGCGGAGGAGAGGTTACTGTTTAGTGATAGATATACATCATGTAACACAGAAAATATGGCATCACTAGTGCATTTATTAGACAAAAAGCCGAACTGATTTTGCGATAAAATATTATATTTAAGGAGAAAGGGCATAAGTCGAACTTTTATAAGTCTTTCAATTATTGTAGTATTACTCTATAGACTATAGACTATTGTAGTCTATAGACTATAGACTATTGTAGTCTTTCAATTATTGTATTATTGTAGTTATAATGGCCAAATACTAGACTGCATTTCATTTCGGTTGAACTTCCACAAGAGCTCCTGACGATGGGTTGAATAACTCGAAACACGTGTCGGGCTATGGTGGAGTTCCTATCGAAATGAAATGCAATCTTTGACTTTCATTTAAACGTCTTTCTCTACGTAAAGAGTGAAAAAAGATGGTAATTTTCAAAGGTGAATCGTAGATGCATGTCGAAGTAAAAATGTACTTCTAGCGTCGTTGAAAGCCTCTAGCAAGAGGCTTTGAATTTGCGGTTCACCTAATTTGCTATCAGAGAGGTCTCTCGACTTCTCGTTATTTCACAATGATATAGCTTTTTACCTTGTGACAGGGACTTTGTCCTGAATAAGCGTCATAAGAAATCTGCGATGGTTTATGTTCTTTTCCAGTGGGTAGAAGTAATTACAGATGCTTCAAAAAAGTTTAATGACTACTTAAAATTTTAAAGATCTTAATATTATTGAAAACTCGTTGAGAACAGTTAACTTTCGAATAACTCATTTTGTGTGATTCAAACTGACACATGATGATCCAACCTAATTGCTAGCTAGAACCTCCAACACCTTCAGCTATGGAATACAAAAGCAGCAAGATGAAGGATCGTCAATCTTCCTCCAATAAAAGTCGCAACATTTTGCAGATTTTATGAAGGACAACTTTCAATAAAAAATGAGAAAATGAAGGATCTCATATCGTGGATGCCATATGTGCTTGAAATTCAGGAAATTTTATGAAAATATATTTGTTTATGACCAGGACTAGACTAAGCTAATGTACTTAAAAGGAAACTGTTTTTGCATTGATATAATATTCTGTTTTACTTTAACTTTTTAAATTGTATTATTTCCATGTCTTTGACAGGAATTATTTTGTATAATGATGTGTATTTTTGTCCGTGTAGTGGCGTTATTAGTTCAAAAACTCAATCATTATTTTATTTTATAATTTATAAATAATTTTTTGATACCATATAAGTTTTCAAATATGTTACTCATATACGTTTTTTTTGTAATTGGTTATACGATTTTACAGTAAAATAAAGAGTTATTAACGTGTAAAAGTGTTGATTATTTCATGCAATAACGTTTCAACTGCCATTATTTCCGTAAAAGTTACAACATTCTAAGCGGCTGTGGATAGAACGTTGTTGCAATTAAAAATTTACTATTTTGGTTTAACTTTATTACTACTTTAAGTTACACAAAGTAGTAATAAAGTTAAACCAAAATAGTAAATTTTTAATTGCAACAACTTTTTTACTAGTTTACAATAATATTGCTATAATATTTAATGTATTAACTTATTTTTAATCGTCAAATTTTTTTTTCAATTCCTGACAAATTTTTAAATTGGAGCCTGAAACCAGTACCGCAGGGACGCATTCAGTTGTTTCACCTTCAGTAGGGCGCGCCGCAGTAATTTGCTGCGTAAACTTAATATTTCCAGGTAAAGTGTTAACGGGATACACTATGTACGTGATATTTTTAAAATTCCCTTATCGGTTAATCCTTAGTCCAAATCCAAATCCAATTAGTTAGTTATCGTAGTTTATTGTGAATAGTACATCGAGGCAGACAATGGCTGCAAGGCGCCTGGTAGTGAAAATTCGCGCAATTTTTTGAAATAACTTAATATATTTCTTTTTCGAAAAATTGAAATTTTATTGGTAAGTAAAATTGGTAATAATATAATTATTTATAAGAATTAATAATATATATGAAACATATTAGATTATTGTAGAATTCTATATTATAACATATTTTATAATTTTAGATTACGCGATGTCTCGTAAAAATCCAAAGGAAGTGTAAACCCAAGCACAATTAGAGGAAATTTTAAATAATATGACAGATATTGAAGATGAAACAGATGAAATATTGGAAAGTGATAGTGATTTGGATGAACAACAAATTGAGGAGAACCACGACGATACATGTTCAGAGCAAGATATGTCAGATGAGGAGGAAGTGTTTTACGAAAACGTTGAAGATACGATCATTGGCAAGGATAAAACAAGTAAGTGGTATAAAACTTCTTTTGCCACATCTAATACAAAGAAACAAAATATAATGAGAGTACCACCGTGATTAAAAGGAACTGTACGTCAAATAAAAACAGAAATTGATGCGTTTTTTACTATTATCAATATTGATATGGTTGATGAAATTCTAATTGTTATCAATTTATATATAAATGAACATAGAGATAAAACGCAATATTTGAGAGATAGGGATTGCAGGAATGTGGACAGTAGTGAGTTATTGGCATTTTTTGGACTCATCTATTTGATTGGCATAAAGCACGACAATCACACAAATGTGATGGAACTTTGGGAAAAAGATAGCACAGGGATTGATATTGTTCGAGCAGTAATGAGCTACAACGTTTCCTATTTATTGCACGTTCATTGAGATTTGATGATAAACATACAAGGAGTAATAGATGTAAAATAGACAAGCTGTCGGCCATTAGATCGTTTTTTGACAGATTTATAAAAAAATGTCAAAACTCATGCATTTGTCAGAGTATACAACAATTGATGAAATGCTCCATCCCTTTAGAGGTAGATGTAGCTGGATACAATATATACCTAACAAACCTGCTAAGTACGATATAAAAATGTACGCGTTATGTGATGCTCAAACATTTTATACCGCCAATTTAGAGATATATTGCGGTAAACACTCAAGTGGCCCACACGACGTATCAAATTCGGCCTTTGACGTTATAAAACGTCTAATAGAGTACGTAGAAATGACGGGAAGAAACATAACAACAGATAATTTTTATACTAGTATTCCGTTAGCTAGATATTTGCTGCAGAAGAAAGATACTCTGCTTGGGACGCTGAAGAAAAACAAAAGAGAAATTCCTCAAGAATTTCTTCCACATAAATCAAGAGCAGTTCAATCTAGCATATTTGGATTTCAAAAAGACTATATGATTACCTCTTACGTGCCGCGTAAAAGTAAGTCAGTCATATTATTATCGTTTATGCACAACGAAAGTACAGTTGACATGGATACTAAGAAACCACAGTTGATTTTAGATTACAATAAAACAAAAGAAGGAGTTGATACTGTAGATAAATTATGTTTATCATACAGTGTTTCACGAATTACTAAAAGATGGCCGTGTGTTATATTCTATAATTTAATGAATATTGGAGCCATAAATGCTTTTCTTCTACATTCCGCTGCAAATTCTGGAAAATCACTCAAAAGGAGACATTTTTTTAAAAACCTTGCAATGAACTTGATGAAAGAACATCTTCATACACGATTACAAATTAAAACACTTCCACGTGATATAACCGAGTTCCTGTCCAGGATGTTTCCGAAGCAACCAGTACCCCATCAAGAAGACGAAAATCCTGCTAAACGTGGTAGATGCTGCAATTATTACAGTAAAAAAATCAAGTCGTATACCTCTATGAAATGTACATAATGTAGTGCATTCACTTGTAAAAGATATTCTAAATCTAATAAAGCGTTCTTATTTTTGACAAAATAATTAACGATACAGTTAATAAATAATTAAATGTGTCGAAAACAATACGAAACTAAATGGCAACAAATTGCTGCGGCGCGCCTGATGATGTAATTATTTAGGGCGCGCCTGGCCGAAGGCTAATTATGTTCCAATTGTTTATATTTAGTTTATGTGTTAGGTTTTTTTACTCATTTAAATAATGTATTAAGTATGTATTGCAGGAGTAACAACAATATATCATGTCGAATGTTACGATGATAAAACGAATGAATGGTATGAAGCTACCGATATGAATATCTATAGATCAGCGTTATCAGCCTGTGTTATTGATGGATTACCAAACGTTCATGACTATATACACAAACATAGGTAAGCGTAAACATCTAATTTTAGTAATACAGAATCAAATTTAGTCAAACGTTTCCAAGAATTCCTTAGGGTCATAAGACTTATTAAAAAAAAAAAACTTATTACCTCCAATATATACTAAGTACAAATTATTATAATTTAAAAATATTTTATACAATAATATAGACTAGCAATAAACAAACGATTAAACTTCCAATACAGTTGAAACAATTTTATACAGGCACTACTTCAACTATTGACTTATCAATCTGTGACCCAATACTATCTCCAACATTTTCTTGGAACGTCATTCCATTCCTATATGGAAGTGATCATTTTCACATAAAAATATCGTTCGAAATAAATAATGAAGCAGAAAATACACATCCAATCCCAAAATGGAATTTAAGCAATTCTGATTGGTCCCAATTTAGCAAATATATAGAATCAAAACTGCGTTTGTTAAAAAAAGTTACAGAAGACGTGTGCGTTGATGATCTTCTAGAATCGTTTTTGTCGCTCATTTACAACGCTGCTAATGAACATATAGCTAAAACTCGAATTACTACAACCAGAAAACTAACAAGAAAATAATTGACTTATGTAGACATTGAAAACAATCCACTCAACATTTTGGTCACCACAAAAGAACTTGAAAATTGCTTAAATACCACTAAAGATGCGACACCAGGACCAGATAATATTCCAGTTAGCTTTCTCCAAAATCTTCCCGACACTGCCAAAGTATATCTCCTTAAACTTTACAATAGGATGTGGACTAAACACGAATTTCCCTCAAGATGGATGGACGCTATAATTATTCCCAATTGAAATCAAACTAACCTCGCACTAAACCAGAATCATATAGACACATTTCCCTTATAAATGTAGTGTGCAAAATTATAGAAAAGATGGTGAATAAAAGATTACTATGGTTCCTTGAAACGAATAATCGACTCATTACCGAACACATTGGATTTCGTCAAAACCGATCAACTATAGACAATTTAGTTGACCTAGAATCAGAAATACATGAAAGTTTCGCAAATAAACAGAAGTGTCTTGCTGTATTCTTTGACATAACAAAAGCATTTGATATGGCATGGCGATTTGACATTCTTAAAACCCTAAGTAATTGGGTGTGAAAGGTAATGTACTGCACTTTATACAAAATTTCCTCAGTAAATGACAGTTTAAAGTCCGCGCAAATGGTATCACATCTAGCACTAAATCTCAAGCAAATGGAACACCACAGGGATCTGTTATAAGTACAACACTTTTTTAATATATATAAATAAGGTATTAGACAACTGTACAAAGGTTATTAACGCTAGACTTTACGCTGACGATCTTGTGTTGTTCTCCAAAGGTAAAAACATACAGCCATTACAGTGAAACCTACAAAATGCATTAAATAACCTGGAAAACTGGTCATTATATTCAGAATTAACAATTTTCCATTACCAAAACAAAATGTATTTTCTTCTCTAAACGACTATAACCAATAACACCAACACTTAGGATATATGGTAATAATTTAACCTATGTAGAAAACATTAAATTTTTGGGAATGCTGTTTGACAAACAATTATCATGGAAGTCTCATATTATTAATCTAAAAAAATCATGCCAAAACGGTCTTAATTTAATGCGTACATTATGCCATAACAACTGGGGTTCAGATTAAAAATGTTTCATTCACATTTATAAATTACTAATAACAAGCAAGTTGGATTATGTTTGCATGGTTTATTCCTCTGCGAAAAAAAAACAGTACTAAATCAACTTGAGGTTATTCAAAACACTGTACATTGTGCATTTTGTACAAGCCCTGCCACAAGTCTACAGTGTTTAACCGGTGAATACTCTCTAAAATTCAGAAGAACGTACCTCTCCTTGGCCTATGCCTCAACTATATCTGAAGTATCATCACACCCCAGTGTTCATTACACAATTGCAGACCGTTTTAAAAAAGCATACAATAAAAATGGTATAGATTCTCCTTTTTATGAAAGAATTAGAAGACATCTATCCTTACTTAACACCCATTTTCCAGAAATGTTCGAAACAAATATACCAACTCCTCCTCCTTGGACCATCCCATATCATGTGATCTGTTACTTACAATAAATTTGGAACTCCCTCTATAAAAATTCGACAATGTTTCCTTAACAAACTTGCCAGCTTCCAGATTCCTTATCACATATACACGGATACATCTAAAACCTCCTCTGGTGTAGGACACTGGAGAACTTTATGCAATTTTTCAAGCGTTTATTCATATTATCGACTTCAACATTCCTAATTCTCTTATAATCACTGACTCCCTTAGTTCATTACAAACCATAAAACAATTGCATACCAGACATCCTATTGCACTTTTCATAAATAATCCACTATTTCAACTCCATGAAGCTAACCTAAAAGTTCCATCACACATCGACTCCAAGGCAATGAAGAAGCAGATGTTCGCGCACTTGAGGCTATCGAGTGTAACTGAAGTGCAGTGCCACTTCAGTTACAGTGATAAAAGTGATAGCGGCGGATCTCAAATCATTTTTTAAACAAAAGTTGTAACTAACTAAGTGGGAAAGTGCTTGGCAAGATTCGCAATTAGTGCTACGCAAAATTCCTCAGACCACATCTTGGTGTGATATTGATTTTAACCGACAACTGTTTGTGAAGTTAACCCGGGTGCGTATAGGTTACACGAGATTGGGTCTATTGAATAAAAATATATATTTGCTTTTACTTCCTCGTATTTAAGTATTTACTTAATATTAATTGAATAAAAGAACATTAATTACTTTATGTAAAAGATTTTACTTATAGAAAATAAGAAATCTCTTTTATTTTCAAGTAGTTACTGAATGTATAAGGTTACACAAAATTTTTTTCCAGTTATTACTTCTGTAATGTAAGCGTAGCAAGTGAGTGAGAAGTTGGAATAAAGGGATAATGGAATAATAAGTAGCATAAAAAAGATAATAATTATTCGAGATAATTATTATATATTCCAAATTAAATAAGGGATAATTAATACAGTTAACTTATACATTTAAATTATACAAAGTATAACAATTGACCTAGTTATGGCATTGTTTGATAATTGTTTTAAACGTATAAAAAGCACGAAACTATTAACAACAACAGCCGTGACCCAAATAGGCGCATAACGCCAAAACTGCAACTCAGCGAACCTACGACCTTGGTACTAGAACCGGCGTTGAAAGTACGACCACAATAAAACAAGAAGAAAGACGGACGCCGGGCAGTTAGTAATGGGTAGTTGGTAATTGGACAGTCAGTAATAGCGGGCCACCGTGACTGGGACGCGACAGCGTCCCGTACGCGAACAGTACGGACAGTCGGTGATTTTCCGGGGGCCGGGTATCAGCTGGCAGAATTCGCGTGTAGTCCGGTTATTGTGGCAGCTCGAAAGTTCGCAACCCTCAACTGACCGAGTTCCAGAAGACTGAACGTGTCGTGGTTGAAACCCTAATATACACATAAGGTAACAGATTTCTTTATACTAACCTGTGTAATATATTAGTACAACTGTCAACTCTTCACTATCTTGCTACATCGTCTCCCGACGCGCAGAATAACGTGTTAACGATTGTATTAGTAACTTCAGGGTAGATTCAATATATTGTTGACTCTAATTTGGTTTTTTTTTAATGTTCCTTCCGTCCGACTCACTAGAGACTAGGAGAACTCGAGATTCTGCGTATGCATATCTCCGGCTTCAAAAGTAAGCCCATAACCTCTACTCTTCACAGGACCTGAGACCTAGGAGTCCTTACCCCTATCCCGAAATCCCTTATCTTCTCGTAAATCCACGAAGACGAGCCAGCCCTCCAGACCAGTGTGACCAGTATTCCTTGCAGCCGCTCGCAGGGTTAGCATCCCTTGAGGATCTATTGTGTATTTCATTTGGTGACAGCGTTTCCATTACCCTCATATAACGCTCTCATTTCCTATTATTTTACACTTCTTTTTAGTTGAATAAAAAGAAGGATATTCTACAATTAGTAAGTAATACTTTAATATTTGTTAAGGAATCTCAAATGAATACTTACGCCAGTAGTGTATGCATACTTACACTAGTAGAGTGGCAGTTCTAAACATTTTTCGATTATTATAATTATGGCTGACTTTATATATGTTCGTAAACATAAACACTACATGAAAAGAAAAAACGTAAGTGCAAGCAAGTCTAAGGCTCTATTGCATTTTGAAAGCCAAAGTATAGACTTTAATCAAATTATTTTTTGCCATAACTAGATGAAAACAGAGGAGGTGCCCTTAGCTCTCGACAAAGAATGGAGATTTTTCTGCGACACGTTAGTGATACTGGATTTCAACTAGGTATTGCTGAGGATTTCGGCGTTCACCATACGACTGTATGTAAAACCATAAATATTGTTGCTGACAGAATTTTTGAGAAATCACATCAGTGGATAAAGTTTCAGTCTGACCTGGAAGGTATGGAAGAAGCAAGGACCAAGTAGGCTAATCGATTACAAATACCTACCGTGATTGGCGCACTGGATTGTCTTCTTCTTTTTGTGCCACTCCTATCGGAGATTGGAAATCATCAAGGCTATTCTGACCTTGTTTACGGCTGACCTAAAGAGTTCATTAGTGGTGCAGCCAAACCACTCTCTCACAATTCCGCAACCATGACATTCTTCTACGGCCTGGATTCCGTTTTCCTTCTATTTTTCCCTGCATTATATTTTGAAGTAATGTGTATTTATGTCCTCTCATCGGGTGACCAAAATATTCGAGTTTTTCTTCGCTTTAGCGTTAACAAAATCTCTGGGTCTTTTCCTATTCTTCGTAGTACTTCACAGTTTGTTATTCTTTCAACCCAACTAATCTTCAGCATTCGACGGTAGCACCACATCTCGAAACTTTCAATATTTTTCATGTTGTTCTGTTTGAGAGTCCAGGCCTCTACACCGTATAATAGCGTGTTAAATACATAGCCTCTCAGCATTCTTAATTGTAGAGGGATGCTTATATTTCTGTTGCAGAAGAATTTTCTCATCTTTATGAAGGTGGCCCTGGCAATTTCGATACGTCTTTTTATTTCACTGTTTTGGTCTCCAGTTTCGTTTATTAAAGTTCCCAAGTATTTGTAACTTGATACTTTTTCAACTTGAGTGCCGTTTATACTAATATACGCTGGTTGTGTCATGTTTTTACTGAAGACCATATACTTGGTTTTTTAATATTGATATTTATACCATAATTGTTGCAAGCAATATTTATGTCTGTAAGTAATCTTTGTAATTCTTCTACTGTTCTTGCAACTAGTACAGTGTCGTCCGCGTATCGAATATTATTTATAATCTCTCCATTAATTACGATTCCTCCGTTTGCTTGTAAAAGGGCTTCCTGACAGATGCTTTCACTATTGTACCCATGTTCAAATTAACAAACCTTCAGAATTTGGTGACGAATTTATTAATAGAAAAGGTTTTCCTAGCATAATTGTACAAATAAAGTGTGATGCAAATGAAGTGATTACAAGTGTGGACACTCAATGGCCTGGAAGTGTTCACGATTCGAGGATTTGGAAACAAGGTTCGATTTATCAACTTTATCAACTTCAACATAGCTTTAGAGGCAATTATTGCCTCCTTGGGGATAGTGGATATGGAATTTCTCCATGGTTATTATGCCCATTCAAAAACCATCAAAATAGAGGCGAGGAATTATTTAATATCACTCATTCCAGAGAAAGAGTGATAATTAAAGAATATTTGGAAGCTAAAGCAGAGATCTCCTATACTAGGGTCTAAAGTAAGAGTATCTTTGGCAAAATTCTAAAGATCATTATTTATTGTGCTGTTTTGCATATTATTTGCAAATATCTACGGGACGATTTTAAGTTACCCGAAAATGAACGGAAAAACCCACAGGACCTCCATGATGAAAATTACAATGAAGCGGAAGAAGATATCATTCGTCAAAGAGGAGCTGCAAAACGCCAATTAATAGTGAAAACAATATTTAACAATAATATTTAAAAACAATATTTTACTTGATTTTGTAATTTTCTAACGTTGTTTTTAATTTGTTTACTTAAATATCATTGTCAATTTTTGTGCCATAGACACTACAATAATAAACAAGTATTTTTATATATGGAAATTACAAATACATATGGCAGTACATATTTGGAATTACAAATACATTACAAGTCTATGTATTCTCGTAGTTCTGATACGATTGATGAAATCTTTTCAACGATTTCCGTGAAGATATGTTTTTAAAAGAGTCAGATTGAGATACAAAATTTTGTAGTTTCAATTTATTTCTAATAATATCGCTTATTGTTTGCTTACCAACTTCGTAGCTCCGTGATAATCATGTGACACTTTCACCGTTTTCACTTCAGTTTAAAATCTCTAGTTTTTGTTCAATCGTTGAAACACTTCTCTTTCGTTTAACACTGGTTGTTGACATTTTGAAAATAAAAAAACGTTATTGGGACCGTGCATGTTTGGAACAGCGACACCTGGTGTCGTAAATCAGCAAAAGTTACTGCGCTTTCATGTTAGATCGAGGTTACCGGATAACTGTCAAGGACGTGGCCCCAAAAAAGAATAATAAGAAAAAGTAAGATTGAGGTTATGTCGGTATGTTATTAAAAGGTAAACGTTGATATAGCGTTAATACAAATAAATATATTATTGAATTACAGCATTACTGTTAATATGAATGTAATAATAAAAACTGGATTTGAGAAAGTAAATCACCAAATAACTTTTTAACCAAGCACTAAGTCAAAGGGAAAAGCTTTAGTAGTGGCAAATCGCAAAAAAGAATGGAAGAATTATCTGTAAGAATTAAGAAAAATAAATTTCCATAAATAGTGCTAATGCATAAATGCATAAATTAGCAGGTTAAGCCCATGATATCATCATATTGGTTTGAACAATTAATTCTTTCCCTGTAAATTTTTGGACAGCAAATATATCTTAATGCATCTTCAGAAAAACTTGAACTTGATGCATTTTTATAAACTTCAAAAAAATAAAATTCAAACATTAAACTTGATTTTTGGGTTAAAATGAACTCTAAGTGAGTGTTATGAAACTAAAATTTACACTTAAAAGTGAACTTTTATTTATTATTTATTTTAAACTGACTTTAAAATCGGGCGCAAGAATAATGCATAATTTAGGTTATGTTACTTATGCTTTTTTATGATATAAATCCACTTTTCTCTTTGTAGTAGCTTTGTGCTTCAAAGTTGGAAACGAATAAAACTTAAATTGACAATTTTTTGTTGTATTTTTACAATTTATAACACAGCTTTTCCTAAATCCCATTTTCTTCAGTGACAGAAGGTGTAAATAAACAAAACGAATATGAAATATGACAATTGACAATATGAATTTATGAAATCTATGAAATGTGCAGTAAAAAAATGCAAGATTTCTCCACTACTCGCGCACGATCGTTTCTCGTATCCCCTCCAAGTACTTGCACGTCGCCAATAAAAATAATCAGAGTAGCGACTGATTTCTAGCTTTCAACTATGTAAATACTAAATCTCACACATTCGACGTAACATGCAGCGGCATATTTTAAGCTACCGGTTTTCCCGAGTACTGACGCTATGGATATTACATTATGCGCCTTTCCGATGGTGTAGTAATTTACGATGAAGTTATTCTGATAAAACGCCGATGGAATGTGCGGTAGCACATATAATCCGCAGCCCGGATAATCCACACACGGATAATCGGGGTTCTACTGTAATTATATAATTTATTATTACCTACTATAATCGCCATATCTAGTGCTAATTCTAGTTCAAACATATCATTAAAACAACAATAAGGTAATGGTAATTCAATATAAGGTTGAATGTTCGAATAATTAAACTTTGATAGTATACAAGGCAACTATCGAACACAGTGATTAAATTAATCACTGTGTTCGATAGTTGCCTTGTATACTGGTAAATAACTAAAGATATAAAGAATAAGGTAATTGACTGCAATACGATCAGTGGATTTTCTGTCCAATTTGGGACCTCGACTTTGAGAACAAACCTGTCAGCTTATATCCAGCGACGGGAAGACACTAACCTTGTTATATAAATATGCTAATAATAGTGATGTTATACTAATATTCTATTACTTCTAACACTCTAATATTCTAACACTTAATATATTCTTTTCATTTTAAGAGATAAACTCATGGAAGAAAAACGACAAAAGATGATAGCATTAGAAAATCATCGAAATCTTGTGAATGATCAAAATAAAACAATAATCACGAGAACATAGCAGCGGCAGTGAACGCAAACATACAACAACTCAACATTCTGCAACAATTAAATGGTCATTTAAATCCAGCTCTACCGCCAGCACACGTTCCCGATCCGCTTCCTATGCAAGTCGAGCCAGACGAAAACGAAGAACACTGAAACCATTACGCTCGTTATGTTATTTTCAGATTACAAATTATAAGTACGTTATTAAAATGCAATGTTGCGAAAAATGTTTAACAATCATAAACCAAACATTCTTATATTTCCGTAAGAGACAAACATGTATTTTAAAATATAGAATCATTGAGTCTCGTTAAGAAAATATCCTCTTACGGCCTCGTTAAGTAAAACTGATTGGAAAGAGATCACCGGAAAAATAATACCTTGTTTCTAGTTATTCTATTTGCATTTGCGTTGCAGAAATTGTATTTTTAATTTCTTTAACTCAAAATTAGTAAAATACAATAGTCCTATTTTACATTAAATATTATTGTCAATTTTTCACATTTTACAAATTTATCAATGCTTTTACACTGTTTTACTTATTGTATTAAACATTCATTTGTATAGAATATATAATAATAAAAATATAAAACTCCTTATAAATGGTCTTTTTTAATAAGAATCAGAAACGGTGGGTGCCAATCGGTAACAATGTAATTACCTCCTAAAGTTGGGAGCCAATGTAGAATAATAAAACTCACAACTTTCTCTGGGAGCCAATAATTGTTAGGCTCCTTTGACTCAGTCTCTTAGGTGTGAGAAAATCTTATCTTAAAAGTAAATATAAAAAATGAGTTTGGCTAGAACAAATAAACTAAAATATTAACTAATCATATTTATTTTTTTTTTATTAGAAAAAGATGTCGCATCCACCAAAAGGTTATTAGCGACGGAACAATGGTTTAGAGGGTTTTGGAACTTTAGAGGGTTTTATGGAAGAACTTGTGCTTTCGTAATTGCTATTACAGTTTTCACTTAGATGCTGTGGCTTTATTACATTTGGAAGTACTGGAGCAAACTCCTTGGTAGTGACAGAACTCGAGCTTGAAGTTTTATTTGTAAGATAGGTTGAAATGGTTGTTTCAGAAAATTGTCTTGATGTATCAGTTTTATTAGAATTTTCTGCAGTTGTATCTAATGAAAAAGGAGCTGATAGATTGGAGAATATTGCTTACGAAGTTTGTGAAAACGGTATTGCTACTGAATGAGGTTGATTGAAAGTGTTGTTATAAGTAGGAGCGTTAGTAATTTCTTTATCATGGAGATTTGTAGGTGTAGGTGATATGCTTGGATTTGATAATGGATAACTTGATGACTGCTGGGTGTTTGGTACCTTGTGTAGTATACTTGTTGAAGCTGTTTGATTTGGTACTTCATTGTTTGACTCAATATGAGTTGATTCCGTTACTGAACTGTTATTGCATTGGGATGATATGTGTCCTGTATTTTTGCAAATAAAGCAGGTAAGTGTATCTTGTGACAAAAATATGGGGTAAGGTGTTTGATCGAAATTTATTTGAATAGAATCTGGAATTGGTGATGTTATAAGGCTTATATAAAACTTGCCTTCGAAAGCTCAATATGTGACTATATTCGGGGAGAGTCGAGCTTATTTTCAGAAATGATATTGGGGAAATAAGCTTTAAACCGATATTCTGTAATTCTTCAACTAATACTGATGAGGAATTGACGGGCAGACTCCAGACAAGACTAGTCTTTCTGCTGGAGAGACAAGTCTTCGTGATGTTACAACTTCGCCGAGTACTTCTATAGAGCCATGTTGTGTCATGAAGTTATCTACTACGGTTTTGTTTGCCAAATACATGCAGATTCTATTATGAGATAATCTAGATGAAAAAATAATATTTTTGGGTTGATGATTGTGCTCAAAGGAATGAGATAATCCTGCAGTTTAGCATTATCGATGCAACTAAATACAATTGCTTGGGTCTGACTTGGAAAAGAGTGTGAAGCGGCTGATGCATAACTGTTTGTGATATTCGAACGTTGATTTACTGGACTGGCTAGATCGGAAGGTGTGTTTACATTCTGTGAAGTCATTTTAAGCTGTTGCGGCAAAGGCCTTATTCCGACTCTGGTAAGTGAAAAACTAACCGCATGCTACTATAAGAAGGTACTTATAATAGCTAACCTCACAAAATGATTGTACGGTAGTATATAGGTATTTATTATTGACGTTTTCTTTTCGCAATATTAAAATAATAATTACGTATAGATGACTTACGTAGTAGTATCTAGTAGATAAACACTTTAATTTTAAAAAACTATTTAATATAACCACTTGTTTTTATTAAAAACTAGGAGTACGATATCAGTACAACTTAACCATACCTTGAGAGGGCCGGTCTTCAATCATATTTATTGTTTCACATCATTTGGCGATCACATCACATTCATCTTATTCACACTATAAATGATAGCTTCAAATTATTGACTATTATTGATGGAACTGTTTGCAATTATTGTATCCGTATCCAAAAATAATTGTAATTTTATGGCCTACTATGAAAAAAACTAGTTGTTCGAAAAAGTGATAAGTGGCAAACAAGTTTTAAAAATAATGTGTTAAACTAATAATGAACACACCTCTTAAAATTTTTCTGTGTTCTTAGATTTTGTTGTTTCTTTTTTATTAAAAATGCTTTCAAAACAAGAAAGTAACGTGACCATTTTTATTACAAAATGTCAAGTAGTTTAGGAAATAATTCAAAAATTTTTTTTTATTTTGTAACTTCAAAGAGCTGTAACTTTTTTGTGTACACTTTTGTACTAAGGTAAGTTGGATTCAATCAATTTATTTTTGTCCCCGGAATGCGTGATTTAATTTATGACATACCTTATTGAAACACTCTGTATAATACAATAAAAACGTAACTACATGATTCTAATTACTTCATTGTGTGGCTATACTTTATAACATAGTTATAAAAATCTATATATATTCGGAAATGAATTTATGTCACGTTGTCCAGAATGTACATTTTCTATTAAAAAATATTGCACATCGTCTTCGCATCCACAAAATTGTCAACTTCATCTTTATTGCTTTATTGGAACTGACCGATAAGGATGTGTGTGCAGTGCAAGAGAAATAGAAGTTTCTAGAATGGACAAAACCAATTAAAGCCATCGATCAAATTTAAATTCACCGGACAATCAAATTAATGGACTTTGGTGGTTTATAGTTAGTTGTATTTTTTATTAAGATATTTGCTCTATATATGAGTCCGCTAGATGCAAAACTGTATTTGAAAAAATTGTAAAAATTGAATTTTAGCTGACAGTTATTTGCCACATGTTATAGCTATCTGCTGATGCAGAAATTCAGCAGCAAAGTAAGGTATTTACTAAGAAAAAGGCATTAGAAATCTTGAGTCAGACGCAAAACTCTGTATTTGTCAGCCTCATGTGCACATGTCAATTATTCCATCATTCGCCATTACCGGTTTCACTGTTTGTTATTTGAGTACTAAAAACACCAAGTTTATTGCAAATAATTAACATTATGGATCTTCATGTGCATATTAAACCTTATGAAAAAGGAAAAGGGAGAAAACGAGTTGTACAAACAGAAAAATGGAAACGAAATGTAATGAAACTTAAGAGGTAAGAGGTGTCTACAATTAACTACATAGGTTTGGGACTCATTGTCAATATTTTTAGGCATAAACCTAAGGATTAACCCGGTTTTCCCATCTGTAACCATACAAAGAAAGTGTATTGTTGTATAGATTTAAAGATGCGAGACATTCAGCGTTTCCATAATAATCGGTATTCAACAACTGACAAAATAAAACAAGATATTTTTTTGCTGAAATTTTGTGAAGGTCAAAAGCCAAGAAATCAGGTACAAACTACATGGAATTTCAATTAAATATTTTGTTCCTACAGTAGAAGGTGGACTTTTAAGAGTATGCAAGACAGCATTTCTTGGAATAACTCATTTAAGTTCTGAAAGAATAGAGCGTGTTGTAAGAACGTTTGTTATCCGGGGTGAAATACCAAAGAGAGAAGAGGGGGTGATACAACAAAAGGTAGATTTGATCTAATAAAATTATCTATCCAAACATTTATGGGGCGTTTGAACGGTGCAGAGAGTCATTATAATAGAGGACGATCGACTAGATTGTATTTACCATGTGATCTGAATTTTACAAAGCTTTACAGAATGTATTGTCAACGTCATCCACATTATTCCGGAAAGTTATCATATTTCCGAACATACGTTAATGAACACTACAACATATCATTCGGCACTCCCTTAGAAGATGCTTGTTCTGCGTGTCTCAGAGCCAAGGAAATTTTGAGAAAAGAAAATTCAGAAGAAGAAAAGTTAAAGGTTATAACAGAGCAGAGAGTTCATAAGTTAAGAGCTAAAGCTTTTTATTCTTTGTTAAAAAATGAATCAAATCATAACATACAAATATTTTCTTTTGATTGTCAAAAAAAATCTTTCTTTGTCAAAGCTTCCCGACCAGGCGGCTTATTTCTCACAGCAAATAAATTTTTATAATTTCACCATCGTGGCTGGAAATTCGAAATCCCATCTTTCTTCTGCAAATGTGACGTCATATGTGTGGCTGGAGTTTGAACATCCAAAAGATTCAAATGCTGTTGCCCCTGCTGTACATGATAATCTCATAAAATTCAACTTTAAAAATCAAATCGAAAAAGTTCACCTATTTGCAGATGGATGTGGTGGACAGAACAGAATAGTACGATGATGTCTATGATAATCTACTGGTTGGTTTATGAAGCACCTGGTAACATCAAGGAAGTGGAGTTTACGTTTCCTGTTGTTGGTCATTCCTTTTTGCCACCAGATAAAATTTTCGGTGTGATAGAAAGGGAGATAAAAAAGAAGAACATTGTAATAAACAGAAAAGAATATGAAGACATAATTGGAAAACACTCAAAGGTACTGAGACTTGGTAAAGACTGGCAGATATCAGACTGGAGAAAGACGAGTGACGTTGTTGTTAAAAAACCAGTGGCATTTTAAATGTAATGCAACGAAACGATTTATATTTTCTAAGGATAAAGATTATATGGCTACGGTAAGGGGGGAAATATTTTATCGTTTTGACATAGGGTTCAGCAAGTCTATAATACGAAAAGGGAAAAAGATTTCTTTATTGAAACCAAAGTTACAACAGATTGGATGTTCATTAAAAGGAGATATATCGTCCAAAGGCACTCTCCTTAGAAACCATTTTGGTGAAAATTGGAGAGACCAGCCGGATCTCAAATTTTATAAAATTATAGATACTGGCGTACAAGCAAATAATAACGAGAGTGCTGCAGAAAATGATCATATTGATGATGAGGACCCAGAGGAACTTAGAGATTAGGAATTAATATAAATATATACATATTATAATTTGTAATACCTTTTGTACCTTGGATAAAAATAAATTTCACTAAAAGTTTACTTCCACATGCTTTCTTCCTTATTCCTAACACACTAGGTTTAGAAAACAGACTAATATAACAACCACTAATATCGTTAATGGTTGACTATTATCATGTATTTGCAAATGTTAGTTGCATAAATCTGTATTTACATAGTTTACTTGGAAAACTCGGTATTTTCAAATTTTTCTTCCTTTTCTAGCAAACATAATAACTTTTCTAAGAAAAAAATCATTATATTTACCTAATAAAGCATTTATCTATCACAAAAAAGTGCCATTTATTATGTCTAAGGTTTTTTTGCAAAATTTATCAGTTTTTGCAAATAACTCAGTTTGACTTATAAGTAAATACAAAGTTTTGCATCTAACGGACTCATATGTTGAGTAACTTTACAGTTCTGAAAAACTACAAATTTTTTGAACTGAAAAAGCTTTTGAAAAATTAAAAAAAAGCGAAACATCTTTTATAAACCAATGAAGTAGGTTACTTTTTTTTTTGTTAACATAAATGACCAAATAAACCTCTTCATTCACTTGCTGCAAATTTGCGGATAGTACAGTAAAGGCACACATAGTATATGACAAATAGTTAATAAACCCTACAAGTATAAGCTAATGGTATACCATAAAGAAATTCGAAAAGCTAAAAGATATTCATGGAGAGAGTTTTGCGAGGGGATTACAAATATCCCGGCATGTTCTAGAATCCATACACTCCTGACAAAGGATGGTGCTACAACGAAATAAGTAGGTTTTCTAAAGAAAGCAAATGGCAAATTTACGGACACCAAAGAGGACAGTCTTAGAGCACTGATAAACACGTACTTTCCGGGCTCAACAGTTCTGAATGATGCAGATAGGCAAACCAGCATAGACCAAAGGCTCACTAGGCCAAGGTCTACAGATTGGAAAATAGCCACAGCAATCGTAAGACCAAACAGAATTAGATGAGCTATAAATAAGTTTCGGCCATATAGGTCTCCAGGGACAGATGGCATATCCAAGACTGTTACATATGATTAGAGGTATTGATACCACATCTATGCAAGCTCCTCAAAGCCAGTTTAGCATGGGGGTCGTACCAGAAATATGGCAAGTCATATACATGCCTAATGTAGGTAAAATATCAGACCTAACACCAAAGTCATATAGACCGATAAGCCTATAGACCGATAAGTCATATAGACCGATATCGATATTTTACATAGAATTATATTATGTCTACTTATTTCATAATTTTACAGAATATTAGATAAAGCAACATGTACGTGGGCACTAAAAAAATGTTTCAATTTAATTTATTGCTACAATTTTAAGTAATAAAATTTGAAGAACAAAAAAAAACATTTGTAAAATTTGGATTTTGTGACTTGGTATAGTTCGCTCTCAAAGGACGATATTATAATATGACAACCAAACTTTACAGAGCTCCTCCACCATTATCAAGGTTCTAAATGAAATAAAGGAAGAAAAGCAGCAGAACAAATATTGGAGACCATTATTTGCAAAAAATATGCAGAATGGCAATATTAAATAAACTGTTTTGTTTCGAATACTATAGTATATGTATAAATATGTTTTAAAAGTAAGCATACACATAGATATGAGTATACAGTTAAAAATTTTAAAAAATTTTATAATATATAATTTGTTTTATTGTTTTAAAGGCCGGTAACATATTTTTGCAAACGCATCTGCGCAAAAAGCATGAACTGCTCCGCCCTCTTATTCCGCTCGGCATAATGAGCGACGCAACTTTTATTAATCACAAAGTTGTGTCGCAACCACCTCTGTTATCCTCTATGTTGCAGGAGTTGTTGTGAAGAGTTCGATTCGAAAACTTCATAGTCGAGCCACAGGCGCCAAAACTCCACTCTCAAAGAAACCACCAGCTGCCAGCGCCGAACAACAGGTAGGTGCTTGATTTATTTATTTCGCGCCTGCATTTTACGACTTTGCATCAGGTCTGACAGCTCACATTTTTTACATAATTTGTATGTATGTCAAAATTAATTAATATATTTTACAAAACAATGCGAAAGTTACACATCTGATAATAATAATATGTGTTTATATGGGATACTTCTTACAAAATATGGAATTATTACCTAATTTCAAATTGTATGGTATTTTAAAATTTTTATACATTTGAAATAAACTTATTTTATGTTCCAAAGCGGAATAAAACATTGGTACTAGATAAAACCTTCAAATTGTAATATATTATTTGATTAGGTAATTTATGCATTACTTTTATTACTACAATTATTTAATCAATCAGACGGTAAAAAAAACCAAGAATACTTGGCATCAATATTAATGATCGCAAAGACGATTATATTGGAAAGTTAGTTGAACGTTCAGGTATAGAATTATGCCACATATTGATTCAAAAATTTAAGATGAATACCATTTACACTACCAACTTTTTATATATGCATCCTTCTCATATTCTGTTTGGCTTAAATTTATTTTATAGTCCTATGTAACTGTTTAAACATTTTACTCACCATCAAAATTTATTACTTAACATAGCTATACAGTGAACGGCTAAATTATGGAATAATATCATTATTTCGAGAACCGTCTAGTTTAGAGGGAAATCCCGAAAGAGGTCGATTTTGTTATAAAATACCCATCTTATAACGTACATGGAGTAGGGATGACGTCACGGGTGTGGGTGTAGTGACGTAACCGTTAATTTTTTTAAATAGAAGTTGGTATAGTGCGACACCTCATTTAAAGGAGAATTTAATTCTGTAGTTAACGACATTACATTTTTAACTGAAATATTTTTTATGGGTATAAAAATATACTACTCTCCGAAATTAACGCACCACCTAAAATGGACCATGATTTTGAAACTATATTTCTTTTGAACCCTTAATTGGATTTCGATAATTTATATTTCACATCATAGGTATATTTCTAATTAATTACATAATAATGTTTTTTGAAAAATGTCAACTTTTTATCTATATACGGGGTGTAAAGATAAAGTTGTGTTTTTTGTCTAATTTTGCAACACCCTGTAGAATGTATTAAAAACAAACGATACATGTTATTAATATTTCAAGATTGCCTCATTCTTTCTCCACATTTTCGTAAAAAAATCGTCTCAATATCTTTATTATCAAAAAAGAAAAGTAAGTTCAAAGAATTACGTGATTTTCTACTCTCCAGAATTAACGCACTACCTCAACTCTACCATAATTTTTAAGCTATTTTTCTTTTGAATCCTTATTTGGATTTCGATGATTTTTTTTCGCACTGCAGATCTATTTTTAAATAATTACTGTATTAATGTTTTCTGGGAAAAGTCAACGGTTCACCTATATACGGGGTTTAAAAATAAATTTAATTTTTCACGTTATTTTGCAACATCCTGTGGAATTTATTACAAGCAATCGTCTTATTAATATTTCGAAATAACTTATTTTTTTCAAGATTTTCGTAAAAAATTCATTGATTTCTCTATTATCAAAAAGAAAAGTATTTTCATAACATGATTGTAATAAGAATTTCATTTTAAAAATAGGTTTGTTAAATTCATATTTAAATATTGTCTAAATTAGATATATATGTGTGTTTCCTATTAATTGAAGACTCAAGTGGATAAAGGGGGTAACTAACATTTTTTGAAAAATAGATTTTTCCACATGGTTGAAAGGGGCAAGTGACAATCTAGCCTATAGCACCGACTTCAACGCAAGAATATAAAGAAATAGACAACTTTCAAAATCATAAAAGGGGTAAGAGACATTATTTTAATTAAAGCACACGGATAAAAAAGGTAACTGCAGTAGTTGCCCCCTTAATTCACTTAAATTTGTAGATGCCTCTCTTATCCACTAGATGACACTATGTTGACTTCAGTTGTCTCCTTTATCCATAACAAAATGTTTTAATACGAAAAGAAGCCTGCACTTTAAGAAATATTTTTTCTTAAAAAGTTTATGTTAGTTTAGTGGCGTGTTAAATTTACAGTGATAATGTCGTTCAGAAGTAATTTAATCTTGAAAATGGCATTGGAGTTGTCTGGTAAGTAGTAGAATAAGCTATTTACTGAGTGCTGGTATACATAACCCTATGATACTATGAATAACAAGATAGGATCTTCCTATAATAGCTCAAAATCGGTCGGGTTCGCGCATGCCGTCATTGGAGAGTAGAATTTGAAATCTTGTTAAAGTTAAATGGGATTTGTATGCATTCTGTGATGAAATTACTAGACGAAAATAAGTTAAGAGGTTTAATAATTACAATAATCGTACACATAAGGATATCTACAAACTATTTATTAAAGATTATTTATTGATATATACAAAAAACTGACATTTCGAACGTGCAACTCTCCAATGACGTCACAAAAACATGCGCAATATCTTATCTTATAGTCATAGTATCATGCATAACCCATCGAGTAAAAAGACAAAAGAGGGAATGTAAAGGTAGTGGGGGCAAAAATATTGTTAGACAGGAAGTGCGATCTTTAGAGGCCACATTAAACAAGGAAAGAGAGTCTCTCTCCTTGTTTGACATCAAATTTAGTTGGGTTATGTTATTGTTTGTCCCCAATGACGTATAATATATAGACTCGGTAAACGCTTTAAAAAGTGTCCAAAACATGAATATCTTTGTTATTTTTTATTGTTTTGATACGAAGATACACGAAGTTCATGATTTCTTACGAAGCATCACGAAGTTGATCTTGTGTTTGAAAACATCATGGACGTATGAAAGCATTTTCTCCATTTTGTGTGACAAGCAAATTTTATTTTAAATTGTTGAGAGTTATTTACTTACTATTTTAGTAAAATGCCATACTATTTTATCAAAATAATTATTTCTCTTATAGATGGGACAAAAAGAAATCATAAATATTTAATTTTAATTAAAAAAATAATTATTGTCATTAAAATATAAATGAACACGCCGCTGTTCTAATAAACATACCTTCAACCTTGAGCCGAGATCTTTCGGACACTCGATTCTATAGCGAGAATAGGAGACTGCGTAGTCTATATATTATACGTCATTGTTTGTCCCAAATGTCACATGAAATCTTATTAATATTAAAGTTTTTTCTATTTTTATTTTTTTAACAATTGGGTCTCATTTTAGGCTATTACCGTTAATAATTAATTAAAACTTTCTCGTCTAAGACACATTCTGAAAAATATTATATAGCTACTGTTAATAAGTGTCGGAAAATTTAAATTTGGCGCATTCGCATTTCCGGATATGTCCGCCATCAGAGGCCACTTTTTTGGTCTCCTTTTCTAAAGGATTAGATTCCCTCTTTTGTCTTTTTGCTCGATGACATAACCCGACATTTCAGAAAACCTGCATGAAGTATCTGAGCAACCGTTGAATGCTTCTGGAGGATCGGATTTAAAAGGTAATTTTTATTGCATTTAGATGTGTTCGAGTATAATTTTTTGTTGTTTATTGTAGAATTAAATGTTAGTATTGGAGCACTTACCTCTGGTGCATCAGATACAACTGTGTGTGAATCCGTAGCTGCTGAAACACACAATACATTGGACAACCCAGAACCTAACACAAATATAGGTGAAATTATAAGTTGTTCGCAGCAACATACAGGGTATAGCAATATTGAAGAAGTATGATGCATGAGACCTTAAAACGTTATTTTCTGTCATTTTATACTTATTATTTATTGCAGATGTTTTCGCCGAATTGGAAAATGACCCGTTCAGTGCCAGCGATGAAAGTGATGAGTATTTACCCAGTTCTAGTGATACGACGGACACAGATTCCGACAATGATTGTATACCAAAAAGACTGAAGATAAATACCTTATCAACTCTTCAACAAAATGAAAACAACAAGGAAATCGTTTTTAATGATTTATCTAAAAAGAAACAAAAAGAATTTAAAAAAGTAGAAACAAAAACAAGAAAGAGATCTAGTGATCCAAATTTATGGAAAAGAAATACTGCAAGTAATGCTAGACAGCTAGGTCAATCGTACATAAATCAAAAAGGAAAAATAATACAATGTAAAAGTGTAAATGTTGGTTTGCTTTGTAGTCAAAAATGCAAAAAGAAATGCAATGATAAAATTCATTTAGAACAAAGAACAAAAATATTTTCTGCCTACTACCAACTGGCAGCTGAAGACATGAAAAATATACATCTCTTTAAGGGTATAAGTTTTAAGAAACCAGCAAGGCCAAAAAAAATGCAGTTCGTAGCAAATCTGCATCTTTTATTTATATAATTTGCATTGATACTACAGAAACATTTCTTTGTAAAAAAGCATTCTGTTCTCTGTTTCAAATTGGCAAAAAAAAGATAGAAAACCTACAACGAGAACTAAAGGACGGACTGCAAATTCCTAGTGTTTGCAAAAGAGGAAAGCATGAAAATAGGCCACACAAAAGTCCAGAAGACGTAAAATTATATATTATGGATCATATTAGCTCGTTTCCTGCTACCCAGTCACATTACTCCAGAAAAAAAACCCGAATAAACAATATCTTGCCTGTACATTAAATATATCAAAAATGTATAAACTATATCTTGAAAAATGCACTGAGGAAAATAAACAATCTCGTTTTCAAGTAAAATACTGTACCTATGGCAACATATTCTCTAAACAATTTAATTTATCATTTGGTGAACCTCGCAGTGACACTTGTAGTACTTGCGACAGTGGAAACGCTAATGAGCAACATAAGGAAAATTACGAGGCAGCTTTTTCAATACAACGTGCAGATCGTGAGTATGCAAAAAACGAAGATGGAGTATGTTATGTAACTATGGATATGCAATAAACACTTCCCCTTCCTAAATTAACAACTAGTAAGGCTTTTTATCTTCGTCAGATGTGGATGTATAATTTAGGGATACATTCAATTACAAAACTTTCAGAAAAGGATAACTTTTTTACATGGACTGAGGACATGGCTCTTAGAGGAAGCTCTGAAGTATGTAGTTCATTACTAACCATGTTAGAGTACAATAATATTTTTCAAGATAATGCTATATCTCATGTGATAATATGGACCGACTCTTGCGCGGGTCAAAATAAAAACTTCTTGATCATATGTCTCTATCAGTACCTTATATCAGTTGACGCTACAGCCTTCGTGAGCCTTGGCCTGCTTCAAAACGTTCTTCCATCCTTCCCTATCGAGTGTCTGTCTTCTCCACCCCTCACTCCAATCTCCCTCAGATCTTCCTGTACATCGTCCAGATATCTGAGTTTAGGTCGCCCCCGTCTTCTTCTTCCGACCGGCCTATTTAGCATAGTTATTTTAGTGGGATCACTCTCATCCATCCGCATAACGTGGCCCACCCACCTTAGGCGGTTTATCTTGATGGTCTTCACAATATCTGCATCACCAAAAAGTCTATAGAGTTTAAAGTTATATCGCCTTCTCCACAGACCCTGTTCGTTTACTCCGCCAAATATGGTCCTCAATACTTTTCTTTCAAAGACTCGTAGTAACTCTTCATCTCGGGTCGTCATTGTTCATGTTTCCGATCCGTATGTGAGCACTGGGCGTATTATTGTTTTATAAAGTTTGCACTTTGTTACTATTGACATACTTCTCGCTCTTAGTTGAGGGCCCAGGCCGAAATAACAGCGGTACCTTTTATCGTCTTCTTCTTCTTCTTCTTCTTCAGCCTGTGTTCGTCCACTGCTGGACATAGGCCTCTTCCATTTGCTTCCATCGATTTCTACTTTTGGCAATTCTCATCCACTGCTTGCCCGCGACTTGTTTGATATCGTCTGTCCACCTCTTCTGCGGTCTGCCTACTCCTCGCCTGTTCTCTCTTGGTCTCCAGTTTGTTAATCTTTGTGTCCATCTTTTCGGGATTATCCAAAAAAAATGGACCTTTTATCGTATCTTACCTTATACTAAAAAGAATTGTAAAAACTGTTGACCATAAATTTCCTGAGGTTGGACATAGTTTTTTAGACTCCGACAGAGATTTCGGACGTATCGAAAAAGTATTACGTCGTCATGAAAATATATTTTTAGATGAGGAATATAGAACCATAATTACCCAAGCAAGTACAATGAATCATGTCACAGACATGCGTATACACTTTCGAAAGTTTGACGATTTGGCACAGAATTTAAATTTAATTAATCGCAAGAAAAATACTTTAAATGAAACTGTCCCATTTTGAGATGGAATAAAATGGATTCGTGTTTGTAATTATGGATCCTATTTATATAAAGAGAGCTATGATTCAAACACACCTTTTAAAGAGGTAAATATAATTAGGAACTCGCGTCAGACCCAACCAGTTGATTGCGAGATTGAAAGAATTAGGGAAAAAACTGGCCGTTATCAACTGAAAAAGTGGCAAATCTCAAGAGTCAGCTTCAATTTGTCAAGCAACCGTATAAATGGTATTATAATGCGATTATTACCGAAAATGAACAGAATAATAACTAATAAGTTAAAATTTTTTTATTGAAAACATGTTACCACTGGGCGTTTTAAACAGAAACTTATTTATTTTACAAATATAATTAACTTTTTTAAAATAAAATGTATGTATTCAGCTCGTTTATTTTATTTTACCTTGACTTAACCCCTTTAAAAGAAAACTAGTATCTAGTTATAGTAAAAAAATTTCAGTGGATAAAGGAGGTAAGTGTAGTTTTTTTCAAAATTTTGGGTTTTTAAAACAAAAAGCGAATTAACAAAGTTGCACACATAAAATGTACCATTAATATCTACTCACCGATAACATTTAAAACAAAACGCACAGTTACATAATGCAACTTCAACATGTTTAAAAATTAAAACTTTAATCTGCTTTTTCTCCATTGTATAATTTTGTTAGTTACCTCCTTTATCCACTCGAGTCTTCAATTATAATAAAGATAATTTCAAAAGTGCTAATTCTTTGAGAACCGCGACAAAAGCCCTATATATGTTATTAAAAAATACTCATTGCTCATAAAACAATATAAAAACAAAATATCATAGCAGTATATATATATATATATATATATATATATATATATATATATATATATATATATATATAATATATATATATATATATATATATATATATATATATATATATATATATATATATATATATTGTAAAAAGAAAGTAAAGAAAGTAAAAGGTTGCATTTTATTTTGTTTTAAGTTATTCAACTACTTATCAGGAACACTTGTAGAAGTTTAAACTGATATAAAAAATAAAAATTAAAAATAAAAATTAAAAATAAAAACATATTGCCCTAATAATATTTACATTTCATACTTAATATCACCTTAAGATATCTTAACTTTCTTTCTTCTTGACGTCCCGGTGTTGATTTTCTTCCTCTCGGATCATGAATTTTTCTGTCATGGACTTCTTGGCTTCTTCTTCTGTAGGTACTTCCCTGATTGGTTGTCTTCGGCAACCACCCGGCTTGACCCTGATCAGATGGTCGATCTGTATAAGTTCCTAAGTATCCTCTGGGTCCGATTTTTCGCGAGGATCCCTCTGGTCCTACGAAGTCTTCTTATGGCTTGGTGGAAGAATTATCTGGTCCTTTTCTCAGCCACCTCCCTCAGTGGTGTGTACTGGAGCATTTATTTGATAATTGTATTTGTTACTCGTTCTTCCCATGTTAATGCATCATGGTATAATTGAATTTTCTTGACCTTCAATAGTGGACTTGACCTAAAAATATAAGGGAGTATTAGTTTTTAGCAGCGTTTGCTGTTACCTTGGTTTTTTGGGTGTGAAACTTAAAGTTTAGTCTTCTGTCGAGGTGGACTGTAATTTCTAGCACTGGTGGCTCGTCTCCTTGGCTAACATGATAAATTGTGTCTTCTCTGCGTTGATTTTGATCTTCAATTTTTTGGTGTATTCCGTGATTTTTCCGAGGTGATTTTCTATGTTTTGGACTATTCTTCTATTGTGCTTTCCTGTTGCATACACCGCCGTCTCATCTGCGTAGATGGCTTGAATCTAAAAAAATATTATATAAAATGGGCAAGAGAATACTGGCCTGAGGAGTCCCTTCTTGAATGTACCTTTGTCCATCTTGTAGATTAGTGCCTTCTTCCAAACCGTGTAATATGCCTTCTCGATGTCTAGGATGGCCATGCCTGCTCTATGTCTTCTGTTGAATCTTATCTTCATGTCATCGTGTCGCTGATGACTTTTGCTAGCTGGAGTTTACAGATTCTTCCTCTTCTAAATCCAAATTGATCTTCTTAAATGATTCTTCTTCTTTCCGTGTGTTTCATTAGTCTTCTATAGATGATTTTTTCCAGGACTTTTCCAAGTGGTTTCAGTAGTGATATTATCCTGTAGTTTTCTGGTCTTTTCCATCTATTCTTGGTTTTAGTAGAGGGATGATCTTAACGTGTTTTCAGTTACTTGGAAAGTGTCCTTTTTCCAAGCAGTACTTGAAGAAATAGTACAGATGTACTATAATCTTCTTTGGTAGTTCCTTGAGAGCAATGTTGTGTATTCTTTCTGATCCTGGGGCTCCTTCCATTTAACTTACTAATGGTTTTGGCGACTTCTGTTGGGTTAGTGTAGTCTTCTTCCTGTATTAAAAATTCGTTTCTTGTTTTGATCCTTTCGAATTTTGTATTGAATTCATCTGTGGTTCTTGCATCCGACATGTTTTGGTTTTGCATGTGTATCACTGCCATTCTTCTAGCGATTGCATCCACTTTTCCTTGTGTTTCGAAGTGTGTTCCCTCGTCGTCTATGATTTTGTCTTCTTCTATATCTTTTATTTTCCTCTTTGTTAGGCTTTTAGCATTTTCCATACGTTTCCATGGTTTTCTTCAACTTTCTTTATGTTGTTGTGCTATTTGTTTTTAGTAAGACTTCTGAGTCTTACTCTTATTTCTTCAGAAAATTCGTCTCCGTAGTCTTTGAATTCCTGTCTTCTTTCTGAAAAGCTCTTCTAATTCTGTTTCTGTCCTTGATGATGTTCTGTCGTTCGTTTGGGATAATTAGACCTCTATTATTCGTTCATCCTTTGGCTATGTTGTCCTACATAGCTTGTTGGATTTTATTTGTTATTTTTTCTATTTTTTCTTTCAACTTTGTCTGTTGATTCCACTTCTCTCTTCATTTCTATTTGGTTGAGTTTTCTTCTATAGTTTGGCCATTTTGCTGTTTTCCATCTTCATCTTTCCACTGGTTCAATTGTTGGAAGGTCTACTCTTGATGTCATTTTTCCTGTTACCGG